CTTCAGGAGTCCCTCAAGGTAGCCACCTAGGCCCGGTTCTGTTCTTGCTTTTTATAAACGATATTTCTACAGATATACAATTTTCCAAAATTTTAATGTATGCAGATGATGTACGTTTAAATTAATGAAAGGTCTTTGCTACAATCAGGCTTAAACAGCATGGGTTACTGGTGTCAAGTAAATCGTATGCCTCTAAATCTTAGGAAATGTAAAGTAATGTGCTTCTCGCGAAGAGCTGTTCATCCCGCTTCTTAGACAATAGGTAACCATAACCTGGAACAGGTATACAATTTTGTGGCCCTTGGTATCACAATGGATCCTAAGCTTTATTTTAATCTTCATATTAATGTGACAGTCAACAAGGCTAAAGGTGTACTTGCATTTGTGAAACGATGGTCAAAAGAATTTTGTGACCCTTATATCACTAAAACCCTGTTTACAACATTAGTTAGGCCAATTCTGGAATACGGTTCGGTGGTTTGGAATCCAAGGTATCAAATTTACTCAGACCAGATAGAATCAATTCAAAAACAATTACTACTTTTTGCTTTAAGAAATTTACGTTGGGATTCTCAATATAACCTCCCACCTTATACGAGCCGATTAAAACTTATTAATCTTCCTACACTTTCCAGCCGCAGGCAAATGCTTGGTGCAATTTCTATAGTTAAATTACTAACAGGCTCAATTTCAAGTCCGCTTCTTCTGGGCGAAGTTAGCCTTAATGTTCCCTCCCGGGTATCAAGACACTTTTGTCCCCTATTTCTGAAAGCTTGTAAAACTAATTTTGAATTGCACGACCCACTCCGTTGCTTATGCCAGGATTTTAACTCTAATTCCAGCACGTTTGATATATCAGATCCGGTTTTCAGCATTAAGAAATCGATACTGTCCTCTCTCAATAACAATTTGGGAAACAAAGGCCCGTAGTTATAGTCATAATTAAATGGACTCTAAAGTTAATTGCAGCTTTTTGACATAATGTTCAATGGGTTTTTTAATTGGAAAAGCTTCGACTAGCTTTAGTGTCGACTTCATTTTGACTATAACTATGGGCCTTTGTTTCCCAAATCCATGTCTAAGGATGGGAAAATACTGACTACAACTACGGGTTTGCCCGGGATGTAAAAGTTGATTTTTTGCATTACAGTTAACTACTACAGGTCGGAAAACTTTTTAAAATTTGCAAACTAGTTTGCGTTATTAAATGTTCGCACTAAAAACATAGATCAAACTAGCCTGGTAACATAATATTTAATAAATTACGAACTGATTGGACAATAAAACATAAAAATCATTTCCTTCAACTTACGAATATTTATGGGAAAAGGTATCCAAATTTACACTGAGGAAAAAAACGAAGTATCCCTCAAAATTTAATGCGAAAATGTATCCAACTGGATACATATGTATCAAAACGGCAACACTGCCTAACACCTCCCTTTTTTACAAATTGTTAGTTTCATCTTTTGCTGTGCAATAACAATTGTACTGTTGTTTTACATTTAATAAATAACTCCTTCCGTTCTGGATCTTTTTGGCAGTTATTTGAAGAACTTATCTAAAATGGTTGTTTGTGGATTAATATATTCTAAAAGACTGTTAAGCATAGGAGTTTACTAAGGCTGACTGTCATTAAAATTTTTCACTTAATATTTTTGTAAAATATTTCACCCCGTTTATAATGTGATTATCTAAATAAGGGTGTAAGAGACCTTAGTAATTGTTGGTTTAATATTACTACTTATATAGAGAATAATTTAATTCATATATTATGCTAAATTCTGCGAGCCAAATAGCTCATTTGCTGTGTCTGTAATGAATACTTACGATTTACGTATTCCAGCAGCGTATCGGAGGACTGTAACCAAATATTACAATAAAGAAGTCTACAATAAGTCTACTTAAATTCGATACGAAAATAAGAAAATTAATGACAATGTCTTGTCATTCCAATGGCGCTATGAATGAATCAGACGATGAGCGTGAGCTTACCAGCCTGACCTGGTTAATGGAGCTGCGTAATCAGAATTTTAGTTGGCCAAATGTTATGCACCCGGCTACTTTGGATGATGACACGAAGAATGGCCAAAGCAACGAGACCACCGCAGAGGAAGATTGCCGACAGCAGGAGCTGTATGCTGAAACCGCAAAGAAGGACTGTCCGAATATTGGCGCACTCAATAATGAAGCGGGACTCAACAAAAACGACAAGAGACGCACTGATGCTGATGCTGCTACAGATAAAATGCCAATGCCAATCAATAGCGGCGATGAGAAGAGCGCTAGGCGTTTGGGGAATGGCAAATGCATTGAGAAGCCAAGTAAAAAGCCAACAAACGTAGCGGTGCAAAGCCAGCAGCCACAAATCCAATTGAAAAGAGCCACACCAGCGGAACGATATGAAATCTTTCTGGAAAAGGTGAAAAGGTAATAGCGTTGGTTGGCAGATATGTATTCTCTCTTGCCTTGAACTTCTTTTAAGGCCTGTATGCAGTTCTCAAGAAAAGCTAAAATTCCATACAAAATGACGTACAAGAAATGGCTAAGAAATTTTCTTGAGTCAAATTTCCTTCAGACAGTACGCAGTTCATAAGAAATTTGCTACCCTTTTTACTACGGTTTTCTAAAGTTTTTTTGTGAAAAAAGAGCACAAGGCAACCCAGGTTTGCAACAGAAATATATGCCCGTTCCATTATTTCTTGAGGAAAGAGTGAGGCAACAGGATGTGAAGTATCAAAAATGTCAAAATTCCTTGGACACACACACGAAATAATGGCAAATTTTTCTTGACCGATTTCTTGAGAGCTGCATACCAGCCTTTAGCAATCAATTTATAATTCGTACAGATTGAAAAAAGTACGGTTTTTAAAAAACAAAATTATTTTTTGCCACAATCGCTGAGAGCCAGCTTAAGAAATTTTGACGTTTGCTAGCATTTTTTAAATTTTCTCTCGCCGTCATTTCATTTGTTTGTTTTTATTTTCACTCAAACCAAATAAATATATTTCTGTCGAAACAAAAAAGTTTGAATCTGCATACATACATATGTATGTATGTAAATAAATAAATGTAAGCAATTGTGTATAAGGAACTTCTGCCCTCATGTTAAATCGAAGATTTTGGCATACATTTAAAAATATTGTACTTTTCCAAAGAACCATCTTTTGCTCAGGTTCAGAAGGTGCAGAAGTTGAGCGCAACCGTTGCTAAAAAAATTAATGATCGTAATGCGTCTTCTGAACGGCTTGATACATTAGCTGTTAAATTCAAAACACACAACACGTTGTCTCAAATGATCAGAAAAATATTACGATCATCTAACACGCAACTGTTCAGTTGATCAGAAGTACAAAACAACCCGCTGTTGCGATTGCACCTTCTGAACGTGCCCATTAAGTCAAGTGATGTGGCAAAAAATTAGCCGAGCATACATAGGGGCAATTTGGCAAATCCCTTTTCATAACACCACAAACCTCGATCAATTTTTTCCTTTATACGGTAATTACGGGAACTTAAAAAGCTTCATATTGCTTTGCTTGCAGAGGACAACGGAATTTTCGCAGCCCTTAAAGCAGCAACTCATTTTTCTTCTCTAAATTTATAAGTTTACCCACATTTGAATAAAAAAAAAATCAAATCATAAAATTTCATTTGTTTATTTCGAATTTATTTGACATTTGAATCATTTCGAGAGAGAAAACTCAAAATTCCAGCAAACGTCAAAAAAAGCCCAATGGCGGACGAATTGAGCGAGCAGTTTTTCCTTTAAACATTTCTATCATGGTCTACACCATGATTCAATAACACAAGGTTATGTAATTTGTGACAGCTCAAATCTGACACTCCTTTATCCAGATTTGTATTTTGGAAGTAGGAGAAAGGGGAAGAATGTGATCGCCTTTTGCGAAAACGGTAGTAGAAAGGTACTGAAAAGGTGCACAAAGTATACAATTAGAAGTAAAATGTGTATAATTAATTCTATGTGAATTTGCAATATATTTGGTTTACGTATAAATATAGATTTTTAATTTAAGTTATTCGTCATTTCCTGGAACAAATCTAGAATAGCGACCGTTCAGCTATGCAAAAACGAAAAATGCAGATCAATAGAACTTTTCACGCTCATTTCAACCATGCCAAAATTATTTAGCGCAAGTAAAATATAAAGACGTTTTAGAAGGTTAGAGTTAAATTTTTAAATTTTTTTAAATATTAATATCTTATGAACCACATTACCGATTAAAAAACTAATAACGTCACCATAAAAATAATCAGTTTATCTTTCAGCTGATATACACAATTGAAATTGTTTTTTATATATTTAAACCAAAACCACTAAAAAACGAACGAATTTTTTCATGAAAAAACCTTTTTGGAAAAAACTGCATGATTAATGGTAAAGAAATTTATATTATTTAGAAATCTATTATCTTCAATTCGATATACATATTTTATCATGATCTGCCTTTGGATTTTAAGAATTAAGTGATAATAAACAAGTAAGAAAGTCTAAGTTCGGGCGGAGCCGAACATTAAATACCCGGCGCAAGTATTAAATATATGTTTTCCACCTTTCCGAAAGCTACCGCTACATGATAAGCCGGGGTGTATACATTTTAAGTAAATTAGCGTCCTTAAATTTCGAAATATTGAAATTTCAAGCATTTCTGAAATTTACCGTTATATGAAAAGCGGCCTCAATTTTAGTCCGATTTCAACAATTTTCAACGGTTTGCTTTTATGTGGCAAGCACAATAACCATACCGAGCTTGGTACAAATTGCTAGAACGGTTAGCGAGATACATATATGTGATCACAAGTGGGCGGTGCTACGCCCATTTTCCAAAATTTTGTCATAAACGTATTTCTTGGTAAATAATTGTTGCAACCATCAATTTTGAATAAATTAGCTTCAATATTTACTGATTTATCGAAGATTTTGTATTTCTCGAAATTACCGTTATATGGGATGTGGGCGTGGTTATTGTCCGATTTTAGAAATTTTCGGCCATTTGGTATGCTGTACCAGGACCAACAACTGTGCCAAGTTTGGAAGAAATTGGTGTAGCGGTTACCAAGATATACACATGTAACCATAAGTGGGCGTGGCTACGCCCATTTTCCAAAAATTTATAATATTCATGTTTTCCGTCTGAAACTCATTGTAAGTATCAATTTTGAGTGAATTATCTTCAGTAGTTACTAAAATATCGCAGTTTTCGTATTTCTTAAAATTACCGTTATATGGGAGGTAGGCGTGGTTATTGTCCGATTTCGCCCATTTTCAATACCATCCGTCCTACGCCCAAAAGAAGTTCACGTACCAAGTTTCGTTAAGATATCTCAATTTTTACTCGAGTTATCGTGTGCACAGACGGACGGACGGACGGACGGACGGACGGACGGACAGACAGTCACCGCTTAATCGATTTCTCTTTTCATTCTGATCATTTATGAATACATTTGTCTATATCTATCTCGATTCGTTTTGCATGTTACAAACAACCGTTATGTGAACAAAGTTATAATACCCTTGTGCACAAGTGCGCTCGGGTATAAAAATATAAATAAACAAAGCAAATAAACCTCTTATATCTTCTTTATTTTTAACCTGCGCCAAATAAATTTGGTTTCGTTGAAATCAGCGAAAAAAGTTCGATCAATCGGCACTTTTGGTTATTTTATAGCTACCGTGCTATTCTAGACCTGTTTCTGATAACTACGCAAACGAAGGTGATGCCAACGAATATTTAGTATGAAGAATTTTTGGTTTTACTACTAATATAACTAAAAACTGTAGAGTGAGCAACATTCTGCACAAGTAAAGGAGCCAATTTTATCTGTGGGAGCGAGAAGACTGTTTTATTACAAAACCTTTCTATTATTGAATCATGGGTCTACACCATAATGTAATAAACAAAGTGAAATAAATATATGACGTACGCCTATTTGAAAGTTTAAATGTAAACAATTCATATACATATTTGCCTACATTAACCCTCTTGTGACTTTTGTTCATGTAAGGCACGATGAACTACATAACCTCAAAGAATGTTTGTATGTCTTTATAAGAATGCATTATGGTTTAGCGAATTAAAATACAATTTCTTTACTTGCTAGGTAAGATAACAATTCCATAGCCCTTAAAGTACTGGATTCTGTAGACGTTGCACATTAGGTCAAATGATAACTTTTTCTGTGCGAAATTAAAAGCAGCTAAAATGTTGCATTATTTTAATGTAAAAAGATGGCAAGCGTTAATTAAAAGTGTAAAGGCAGTAAATAAAATATGAAAACATGACTTAGCTTTCGTAAAAAAGACTTTTCTGCTTTTTTGTATGTTCAAATGATGAGTATAGGAGTGTTCGCTATGCAGCTGCCAGTAAGAATTAGCCAGTAACAAAATTCAGAGAACAAGGTACCTTACTCTCCCAAAGAGAGAAACTTACTAAGTTTTGCGCGAACAGGAATTAGCAAACATTAGCAAGCTTCACTGCCAGTTGGCGTCCACGGTTGCATTTCGAGCATAATAAATTTTTTAAATTATTTCAGGTGGAAACCAAAACAGGACCTATACGTATATTTCTTCTTATTCTGACTTTCTTCAACATACGCTTCAATTTCATTGTGGAAGTCACTGTCGAATTTCCTATATCGACAGTGGTGTCGAGTGCGTTCCGATTACGAATACAGCTTTTTCAGCCGAGTATCTTTCAAATGTTTGGAATTAATTAAATTAATTGAATAAACGAATATTTACATACTTCTTTCATTAGTAAATCGCAACAAGATTGTTCATTTTTAAATTTAACGAACTCGTTGATTCAAATTAATGTTGACAAAAATGCAACCGTGTGCCACAATCCTGCTTGCAAATTCTTACTGGCAAAAATTTTCCCAGCACGAATTTGCAACTTCCCCTCCAAATGAAATGTCAAAATTGTGCTCTCTCCTTGCAAGTTTTACTGGGTTTTTGGCTAAACGAACACGATTTGGTAACAATTGGTACCAACTTGTACAAATTTTTTGCATAGCGAACACTCCTTATATGTGTTTAAGTAGTACTCAAAAACATTGTCCAATTCGCTGTATTTTGACACAAGCTATTTGCTTACCATTAGCTACATAATAAAATAAGTATGGTCGCATGTACATAAATGGTTTCTTCTAGCGATTAATTATGGCATTATCGAAACTCCTAAATTAAAAAAAGAAAAATATTTACTACATGTCTCGCAGATATGCCTTGAGGAGAGATTCCTAAAGCAGTTAGTCTTCAAAAAGCACTTCATTTTCGCTTGAGGTTTCAGTATTCCCAAATTCTCCAGCGATATTATTTAAATATATTCAGAATGCAAATGCTGCTTTGTGACACATTTACCAAAAATCGCTGGTAACTTCCTGAAAAGAATACGAATGTTCTTGAA